TAATTCCCTTGACACGGAACCCTCTTCGGTTTGAGGTCGGGGAAGGTATGTATCTTCAACATCTGTCGAGACTTCATCTCATTGCTTTTTGAAGGCCCTTTGAAGTGGGCGGTGTTCCGGAATTTCAACTCCCAAGACTGCCATGCTCATTCCGTTTGGGAGGGCTGGTGATGGTGAGATAAGGCGCAACATGAAACCAACCTTCGAAGGACCCTCATAGGATACTTGGTGACCAGAGAGTGTTTATGAGGAGGTAGACGCATGAATCGTATGTGTGTATGTATATACATACACACATTATATATATATGTATATCTGCAATCGTGCACGAACAAATCAGACCAGAAGAAGCTGGTCCGACACAAAATGCAGCAGTGTAAGCTCGGTTTTGATCGTCAAGCACTTGTCAAGTTTCAGGGTTTGGGTTTCGGGTTTTGAGCTTACCTGGGTCTCCTAGACCTTCAGCAACAACCAGGAGCCCGAAGGCTAACCCCGGGTTATTATAGGGTTCTATATTAGGGTTACCATAGGGTTCTATATTAGGGCTTGAAGGTTCATGGGTTTACTGCTTGGGGGTTTAGGGTTCAGGGTTGGCCTAATTCAAGAGCAGTGAAAGCTTTGGAAGTTGTGCTGCCAAGGCCTACGAAAAGCCGCTCTCTCAGACAGATCGGTTTAGAATTTAAACTTCGCGATTTTCGGGCTCTTAACATATAGCAGGATTCCTAAATATTTCTAATATATTCCTTAATTAAAAATTAACGGATATTGGAAGGTCGTGGTTCAGGGTTTCTGGCTTTTCTCTGGCTTTCCATGTGTTGGCTGCGGAATGCTTGCCGCGTGCGGCCTCTTCCTGTGCACCTAGGGTTTAGGGGTTTAGGGTTTAGGGTTTAGGGGTTTAGGGATTAGGGTTTAGGGATTAGGGTTTAGGGGTTTAGGATTTAGGGTCGGTTGGGGTCAGTGCACAAGTGTTTGGCTTGGCGTTGACCTGGGCTGCTGATTCGTGTAGCCCTACACCAGAACACCCTCAGACTCTGAAACCCTAAACCCCAAAAACCCTACAGCCCCTAAACCCCCAAACCCCTAAACCCTTAAACTCCTGAACCCCTAAAGCCCCCAGGTGTTTGGCTCCTTGGTGGCTGAGCGGAGGTTTCCTGGGCCATGGTCTGTCCGCCACTCAGAGGGCCCCGCAGGGGAATGACAACCCTGAACCCTGCAAACCCTATAAACCTTAAAAGCCCTACACCCTATAAACCCATGTAGATAAACCTATAAGCCCTACAAACCCCAAACCGACAACAGCAGCCATGGCTCGCTAGCATACGTAGGTGATTCTGTTGGTAGGGTGCAGGTGGTGCGGGTGCCGGGGCGGCTGGTGCTGCTAACTGTTGCTGCTGTTACGACGACGACTAAAACAGCTTCTTCTTCTTCGGAGACAATGGCCACTTGGTCCAGTAGGATCAGGGGTACCCACAGACGACTCAGAAGCCCTCTTGACACCGGTTGTGACAATGACCCTGACATGATTCTGGTCTCTGCAGAAGTCGCAAAGCCTCGGACAGTGGAAACACCCCCGAAGAGGTTTTAGACGTGCTGCAACAGCTCGATAATCTCGCAAGCCGGTCATCGATGATTTAAGTGACCTATTCTGGAGACAGTCTTCTCCCTAAACTTTCTACCAACCTTCCTCCACTGCTGTCAAGTCTATTCCGTCAGTCCCTTGCAATCCCCCGGGCAGACTCGTAGATAGACCGTAGACCGTACCTGAGGCAGGGTGAGCCAGTGGCCCTGGAACGGCTGGGTGTGCTACTCAGCGCCCCACAGCCTACATCTTTTGAGCACCAGGCTCTAGATTCCCAAGCCCCGGGCATGTTGACTTACTTTTCCCGGAGCGTCCGGAATCCAGACAGTCCTGAATCTATTGCCGCAAAATCTGATCACAAGCTGTAGTCGCAGCTTCAAGCACAGCTGCTCAGCAGCAAGAGCCTGCTTAGCTTGAGAAACTGAAGGTGGTGGCTGCGATGGTGATGTTGAGGGCGATCATGCTTGCGATGGAGCTGATGATGACGATGACGAGGGCGGCGGCGCTTGGAATGCAGCTGTCGCTGAAGACAACGGCGATGATGGGTAAGGCGAGGATGGATTTGGTGATGGTGCGACGATGGTCAGCATCATCATCATCATCATCATCACCATAATCATCACCATCACGACTGTCATAATACCATAGCGCTGGTAGCAACAGCATCGCCGTATCTGCTATATAGGGGCCAGGCCCCTAGGCAAGTGCATCACCGCCTGGAGTTGTGACGATCATGGTCTCAACCGTGGTGATCCTCACCATCTTCGGAGCGTTTAGGGTTCAGGCAGTGTTTTTCGGGTTCAGGGTTCAGGTTTGTGCCTTCTCCGAGTGGCTGGTAACAGCTCTTCCTTGTATCTGCAAGATTGTTTGCATCATTTCTGTCACTCTGGTACTAAGTCTAAGACTACTAATGCTACTACTAGTAGACGAATACGAACAACAAGAACACTGGTGCATTGATGTCTCTTGGCCTGCCGACCTCGTAGGTAGTTACAAGCGAATTATGCTGTTGAGAATTTGGGACGTTCCGAAAATTAGGGGCACCTTATTCGGGGGTCCTTATAATAAGGATCCCAGTATTTAGGGTACTATATTAGGGTCCCCTTTTTTTGGAAACTCCCATAAGCCCTTAACCCTTTATAGATCCCTTTAAGGATACCTTTAAAGGTGCCCATATTTTCGGAAATCCCCATCTCATCTGCTCCAAGTGCATGGCTGTGCCGGTAAGGAGGCTACCAGTGATTGCTCGGACGCTTGCACTCAGACAGCTTGGAATGCCTGATTCGGAAAACTGCTCAGAATTATGAGCTTGGAATACCTGATTCGGAAAGCTGCTTATAATTATGACTGGGAGTGTTTCCAAGAACTCTATCAATGCCGCGACCATTGCTCTAACAAGTTATGTAGCAGACGCTCCGGCAGCTGCTGGGCGTCTGCACCCAGATGCACACAGATTGCGAGGTACACTACTCGTCTTTAGTCCTGGCGAAGATGAAGACAGGCTTCAGAAATGCATGAAGAACTGCAGATATATTGAGACCGAAGGCCACACGAGCCAGCGCTTTTGAACCTCAGCTATGCTGGAGGGAGTTTCCGCGCTGGGAGCGACAAATGCGAAAGACACATCCTGCTCATTTCCGACAGGGCTGTCCTGGTTTCTCTTAACTCAAGAACCGTGAGCCGGGTTGAACCGAATGAGTGGGTACCGCCATTCATGGCAGTGGAGAGAGTGTTGGGTTGGCCAAATGTGGGGGCAACAATGGGCAACATCCACCCACAAAGTCATGTCGAGCATACTGGGCATACTGTGGGCGATTTTCGAGCGTGCAAATTGGCGCGCCAGGCGCTGCATCTCCAGCCTGGAGCGAAAACAGATACTCCGCCCAGAATCCTGAAAGCTCAACAGGCCTAAACCCTAAACCATGCTAAACTAAAGCTTGTAGAACTCGAAACACGGCCTGCATTCGGGCCTGTTTGCTGCTGTAGTTTTTCCAAGGCCGCTGCTCCTGGCCGAAGCTGTGCAATCGACTCGACTTCGAGGTCATCGGTCTAGGGGTTAGGGTTTGGGGGTCTAGGGTTTAGGGTTTGGGGGTTGAGGGGTTCAGGGGTTCAGGGGTTTAGGGTTTGGGGGTTTAGGGTTTAGGGATGTTTAGGGTTTATAGGTCATCCTGCATCTCGGGACTTTTGCTCAGATGCGCAGAACGTGATATGGTGAACCCGTCAGTTGTAAAGCCCCTAAACCCTAAACCCTCGAACTCTTGAAGCGGCTTTCGGTCTGTCTCTGGGGCCGCACAGGCCAGAATTGCCACAGCCATGTTCGGTGTTCTGCGTTCTTGGTGCTTCTGGGCTAGGACCCAGAGTAGGGCCTTATTCCCTTTTTGAGAGTTTCGGTTCCCTTATAATCCCACTTAAACCAAAAAGGGCACCCTTTTTGTTCTTACGTTACTCTTAGGTGCTTCTGGCGGTTTTTTGAGAGTTTTAAGGGTTTAGGCTTTGGGTGTTTTGGGACCCCCTGGGCTGTGAGCAGCATAAGACCTTACAGTAGAAGCCAGAAAGTTGGAATATCATTATCGTATCCCCTTTAAGGTAAAAGATAGGGGATCCTACCATTAATCCATATTCCAACTTTCTGGAGTTACCTTTACGCCATAAGCCTCCAAAGCCTACAACTCTGAGCTGCAAGACCCCAAACCCATCCTGTAAGGTACCCCCCCCCCAAAAGGGGAAGTGTACATTAGAGACGATTGGGGTGATATTGGGTGCTGTAGTTTCGAGGGTATGAATTGCTACGATGGTACTAACCCAAGTTCAACCTGTCGCCGAAATATACCGGAATCTCCTTTTTGTTGCAGCATGCGGAGGCCAAACATCGCTGTTGTGGGTTTATGGGTCACATGTGGTATTTCGAAACAGCAGATCTCAGGCCGCTTCACATCACGTTCCTAGTTTTCCAGATGTTTTCAGACTGAGTCGCTTTTCCTTCGTCCGTCGCACGTGCCGATTGTGGGAGAATTTGTTCGCATTCTCGCAACATTTCGCCTATTGTCTATGCGTGCTCAGATGGTAGCTCGCCAGTCCGATGATGACGAATGACAGCCCTGTACATGCTGTGCAGCCACCGGATTACACGCATTACAATCGTTTGATGTCTGCTGTTTTGTCGTGTGGCCCGTGGAGCTCCTGAACGCCGGGAGGTCTTAAAGAAGCTCGACATTGTGCACTGTCGAAGATCGTTGGCCGCATTGGAAGAGGACTGAGTTGGGTTTCAACACGTTCTTTTTGACATCATGCGGCTGCGCGGGAAGAGATGCAGAGGGGGACAGATTCCGGTAGTACTCTTCATCGTTCCGGCTTGCTGTTACGAATCCGGTGGTCTCGGTTGTCGACGAGGGCAGGGCAATGTCAATAGGCCCAATAGGCCATGGCTATAGTTTCTTTAGGAATTACTCGTACGTTTTTTGTTCATATAACCCATTATAACCCCCAAGAGAATATGAAACCCGAAACCCTAAGCCCTAAGCCCTAAACTACGGTTCTAAGGGGGGGGTGCATGGCTACGGCAAGGCTCAATGTGTCAACAGACAGAACCACGCAACCCGAAGCCAAAGGATCCGAAGTACCGATGTGGGACTTTCCGAAAGTTAGGGGTACCTTTAAAGGGATCCATAAGGGTTCCTTTAAGGGCTCCTCTAAGGGATCTATAGGGTTTAGGGTTTGGGAGTTTCCGAAGAATTAGGGGTACCTTATTTTGGGGTCCTCATAATAAGGATCCTGCTATTTAGGGTACTATATCAGGGTCCCCTAGTTTGGTTGTCAATTTAGGGTCTTTTTGGGGGTCCTTATTACAACACGGCACCTGTAGGGTACCGAAAAACAGCCCTAATTTTGACAACTACCCATATGGTAGAATGCAAGGTCTCTATGATACGAAGTACTAGTACGGGTTGGGGAAAGTATCCCCCCCGTAATAGTAACTATAGGACCCTTTGTGGGGCTTGGCCACACGAGGTGGAATTTTAGTTTCAAGTGCTCGAAACTCGCTTGGAGAACTGTCATGCGGCCGGATGGGAACCAAAGGCCCCACCCCTCCCAGTTGTAGAATCTCAAGATGTGCTGCAGATGTTGGGCTGGGTGGTAGAGCTTCAAGTACTTAGCTGTATAAGCTGCCTAGGCTTTAGATTCTTTAGATCACCTGGTAGTAGAATAGGTAACCTTTAACCTTTTTTGGCTAGTATAGTCCGTATATAATCCCTATATACCCAAAAAGGTTAACCTCTGGTTCCCCATGATACCCGACGAAGTAGGATTACCATACAAAAGTAGACCGTGCCAAGCTACTTTTGGCCCCGCAGGACTCCATGCGGCGCGGCGTTCCCTTTAGCGGTGTAACTTTAGCTTCCACCTCAGTTCTTGGATGCGCTTGCCTTGGCTGTATGACGGCATGGGAACTATAGGGGCCTTAATACTTGGAATACGGTTTGGGGGCAGGCTATAGCATAATTACAAGAAAGAGCCTCCAAAATAGTGTAGGCAATTACCAAGGCCCCTATGTTACCCCTTTTGGCTCTTATCGGCGAATATCATTAAGCCACTTCACTGTGGCAGTACCGCTGCTGTCCTTGTTATTCGCAGAGGTACCATCAAAGGTGTGCGGCATCAGACCCCCTGACGAGCCACACCTGCCCGAAACTAGAGCGATGGCTGTAGGCCAGAGCCCGAAAATTCATAAATCCTAACCGAAGATTCATAAATCCTAAGTCTAAATCTCAAAACCCTTAAATCCAAAACCCATATAATTTCACTACAACCCCCTAAACCCTAAACCCTAAACCCTAAACCTAAACCCTAAACCTAAACCCTAAACCCTAAACCTTTCTTCCGGCCCCCAGATTATCGACCTCAAGGGCTTCAAGTGGTCCGACGCGCAGTTTGGCGCCGCCAAGTCCCGAGAGAGCGCCGTTGCTGCTTAGGAATCCACACGGTTTAGGGTTTAGGACTTGGAGCCTTTTCCATCCCCAAGTGTGGGGTTTAGGGTTATAGGGGCTACGTAGGATTGTGGGGTGTAGGAAGATGGGGTTTAGGGTCAAGGCCGCCACTGCTACCCCCCCCGCCCACCACCAGCAATATTTCCACTGAGCATCGGCAGCAGTTCACGACGTGCTTCTGCAGCACAGGCTTGGACCCTTTCGAAGATGGTTGCCTGCAGGACCGGGAGGTTTAGGGTTTAGGGTTTAGGGCTTCTTGGGGTGGGACAGGTTCTGTGATGTGCTTCCCTGCATCCGAGCTGCTTCTTGTAATCATCATCCCTATGGTAGCGAATAATGTTCTATCAATGCAACCAACGGCGCTATGCTATTAGGATTCTGGTCGGTTTGGTGCTGTTGCCATTCTGTCCCAAGCTGTCTGATCCTAGATCCTATAAGCACAAGGCTGCAAGTTTCACGAAAGCGACAACGTCAAGACATTTGGCATAACCTACATTGGAAGGCATCCTCTTTGCTCAAGATTGCTGATGAATGAAGCTCGAGCTTTGCAAGTAGGGGTCGACGCCCCCGTGCCGCATACGTCGTCATCGTAATCATCACGTTAAACTGCGACGGCAGCAGCATCAAAATGGCCGTGGTGACTCGCCACATCGTCATCCTCGTATGTATCATCACCGCTTTCGATCATCGTAGTCCAAAACCCACAACTTACCTGAAGATCCGGGTTCCGTTTGGGCAGTGGTTGACGTGGCCAAAAAGAGCGGCCTTCCTTGCTCCGAACAGAACAGTCGGCGAGTCATTGGTGCTGCTAGCTTTACAAGTGTATACCCGCAAAAATATAAAACAAGCCCTTTTCCAGTGATTACGGCACCTATATTACGTCCAGTTGCTGGGTCGAGCACGCTTGGTACGTACCATAGGAATCGTAGTAATGAGCACTCTTTCCGTGCCTGACTCTATGAACAAGCTTGCCCAAGTCCCCTCGCTACCCGAAAGGAGAATGACTCCTACGGTGTAAGGTTTGAGCGAAGGAATCCAAAGGATTAGTGAGGAGCAACCCCCACACGTGTGCGTGGCAGGAGCAACTTGCTCCCCGAGACGTGCTTCAGAATACTGTTCATAAGGCGCCGCTTTGTGTTGCAAACCCGGCCTGTGCACTTCAAGCCCTGAAATCTTAAAGAAGCTCCGTGTGTCCCACAGACAACAAATCAAGTCCTACAGAGCCTACCTGGTTGAATTAATTGAAATCGCAAAGTCTTCCGGTTGGAGTGGCTGAGTTCTGGGGCAGCTGCGGATCCTTAGATCAATCTAAACTGTTGATGCTTTTCTCCCAAAAAGTTAAGGTTTCAGGGCTTCAGGGTTGCCTTTAGGATTTAGGATACTTCATTACTTGGACAGCGTTTTTCGGCCATCCTAGTCGCAGACCAAGCCGAAGAGGGCGAGTCTAGTGCAGATTGATCCGCAAGCCCTCGAGACTGAGACTCCTCCTTGCCACTATGGGCCTAGGACCTAGAGTAGGCCCTTATTCCCTTTTTTAGGGTTCAGGTTCCCTTATAAACCCCTTTAAGCCAAAAAGGGCATCCTTTTTATGCCTGGGTTACTCTTGAGGCTATGGGCTATTAGACCCTAAAGATCCCTATTAGGAGCCTATTAAGGGTAGATTAAGGTACCCATAAGGTCTAATTAGACCCTAAAGATCCCTATTAGGACCCTATTAAGGGTAGATTAAGGTACCCAGAAGGTCTAATAGCCCATAGTGGCATGAGGCAGGGTATCATGGCTTCCTGACCGTCCCAAAGCTAGATGTCCTCTTTTGAAAAGGCCTTCTTGCAATAGGGATCCTGGTATTCTAGTCTGGGTGATGGGTCGACATTACTACAGTCCTTGCTGAGTCATTCTATCCTCGTCAGAGCATCGACCCCACGTTTTGTCGCAAGCTCCCAAGGCCATGAAAGACTGTGGACGCCTTCGAACAACTTCGAAGATAAGAGCCTGAATAATTCATGCTTACTGCTTTTCCTGCGCAATCGCATGGACAACTTCTACCACAAGTGCACTGAACTCGGTTCTAGGTTCTGGCCTGTCGTTTTCACTCCTGCTCATGGTCCGAATGCCTGCAAGGGTACCGGCGCCTTTCGCGAAAGCTTGGCGGCAGCCCAAGTTGAAAGGACTCGCCAAAATGGCGGCTTTTGTGGGAGGAGTTCCCGCTCCCGTCGCCCTCAACCCGAAGCCCTGAACAGAGTCGATGTATATTGCAGCTCAGTATGGTATATTTATTATTTCAGTGCCCACTTCGTCGCGGCTGTTCCCGTCAGGTCTACAGTCTACAGATTCGAACAAGGGGGGGCTATGCCCTAAGCCCTGAACCCTTCAGGTGCTTTAGGGTGCCCTTTAAAGCGTACTGTAGGGTTCTGTAGTAGGATTTCTCTAAGGGTTTCTTTAAGGTCTGAGGGGTAGCCACAGCTCGAAACCATGCTGCGCACGGCTCCGAGATCATAGGTCTTAAAGCTTCTAAGGCCTATAAGGGCTTACAGGGTTTAGTGGAACCCCGAAGAACCTACATATTTAAGGACTTACATAAAGAAATCATAATAAGGAACCCTAAAAAGGTAGATTATTATTCAGGGTTAAGGTACGCTTGAGGGTTTGGGGATCTTAGCGCTGAGATTCCAGGGTGTAGAGCGTGAGGCCACGATACGTCGAACTCGAGCAGGGAATCAAGCACCGCAGTGATAGTACGAAATAGTAAGGCCCTATAACTATATGCACAGTCTTTACGCTCGACGAAGCCATCGCGTCCCGATCGACCACGGGCCTCAAACCCCAACGTCATCACCCTAACCGCTGTAGCCCAAAGCTGCGTCCCAACCTTAACCCAGAAGCAATATGCGGTCCAGGTCTATGTTTAGCTACCTTTTGGACCCTGGTACCATCGCCAAGGTGGGGCCTTTCTCACAGCAAAGAAGGGCGAACATGGTTTAGGGTTTTGGGATGGGTTCAGGGAGTAGGGGATCACCATTCCGAGGGCTTTCATGAAACCAGAACCTCACCTTTGCCTGCTGACCCTCTCTCGACTGCACAAGGCTTTGTCTAGAAACCGGTAACTCTCAACAGTTTTCCTTCCACTTCGGGCTGCAGCAAGAATCCAGAGCAAGATAAGTTTGGCGACTAATTAGGGTTCAGGGAACAGTGCGGAGCAAGATGAGGATTTATGCTTCGCATCTCTGACCTGCAGTTCATCGGGTCTTCGGACTTCAGTACGCCGGAATCCATGGGGCCATTTCTGATCAAGAGCTTTGGCCCGCAGAGCCTTGCGAGCCCCCACCTGCCCTGCCTTCCCGTACCGATACAGTACCATGTAGGGCTTCTATATGAGGAATCACTATTGTGGTTTAGGAAAGTATCCCCCCGTAATAGTATCTAGGACCCTTTGAGCTCCCTTTAAACTGAAGATGTCTTGCCTCGTCTAGAAGCCCTCCAACCACCCAACCCACCTTCGCAGATCCAAATGGCGACGGAAGCGGAGACCCTGACCTTGCTCAGAAAGTTCATAGGCCCCACGCTTGTCGGGTTTAGGGTTAAAGGGTTAAGGGAGTTTAGGGTTTAGTGGTTTGGGTTTGGTGGGCTAGGTAGTTCATAGGCTCCATGCTTGTCGGGTTTAGGGGTTTGGGGGATTTGGGGGGTTTAGGGTTTGGGGTTTGGTGCCCCATGCTTGTCGGGTTTAGAGTTTAGGGGGTTTGGGGGTTAAGGGTTTGTAGGGTTTAGGGTTAAGGGGTTTAGGGGTTTAGGGTTTATAGGGTTTAGGGGTTTGGGGGTTTAGGGTTTATAGGGTTTATAGGGTTTAGGGATTTAGGGGTTTAGGGTTTATAGGGTTAAGGGGTCTAGGGGTTTAGGGTTTATAGGGTTTAGGGTTAAGGGTTAAGGGGCTTAGGGGGTTTAGGGGGTTTAGGGTTTATAGGGTTTAGGGTTAAGGGGTTTAGGGGTTTAGGGTTTATAGGGTTTAGGGCTTGGTGGGCTGGGTCGATTATTGAGGCCTCTAATTAAGGCTTATCTGGAGCCTCCGTCTTATTTCCTCCTTGCCGTGACCCTGTAGCATCCCGAATACAGTTTAACGTTGGCGATACCAAACAGGAACTACAATGGAGACAATACCTTGAACGACCTTACACTACTTTTTTGTGAGTGCACATTTTAATAAACCCCCAGTATGGCATTGATCAACAGTAGGGACCTACAAGCAAAGTAGGGTTCGGTAGGGTGAAGTCGGTATAGGGTGCCTCGGTTCTCGGGCTTAGTTGCCAAGCTTTGGGGGTTCGTTGCGAAGTCCTGCACAAACATAAACCCTAAACCCCCAGAAAATTCTATAAACATAAGCCCTGAACACACAGAAAACTGTAAACACATAAACCCTAAACTCTTATGGATTCCCAAACAGCGGGGACCTGGGCTCTCGGCGTAGAGGCTCGGACCTTTCCTTGCTGATGAATTCGGGTGTCTCAGGTCGATATGAGTTTTTATGCTATAGGGTTTGGGCTTTGGGGTTAAGTGTATATGGGTTCTTCTGTGGGATGCCGTGCAAAGTTGAGGATGGCCGAAAAGAGCTAGCCTTCCGGCACCATGAAGCCATCCATCACCCATCACAGATTAGGTAGGGCCTTGCGTCCCTAAGTGCGCTTGGGAAGTATCCCGAGCATCTGCTTACCCGTTGCAAGCCAGGTGACGATACCATTCCGGCGTATCTGGGAGGCGTCCGTGTGCAGCCGTGTCCTCGTAGCAGCATGCTGAATGTCACTGCTAATTGCTGCCGGTACTCATGCAAACAGTGACGACCGTGCAGAGAAGATGCCACTCTACAAGTACCTGCTCGTATACTTGTCCTACACATAGTTGTTCCTGGCATTAACCAACACCTTCAGCTGGCGAGCACCACCGCCAACAACAGCGCCACCACTGCCACCACTACCCCACCACCACCAGTACGGACACGACGAGAGCCTGATCTTTCCTCTGGCCATGCTGCCGATATCTGGAGCTCTAAACCCTGAAGGCAAAACATCTAAACCCAAGCTGGCTTCTCTGCAGCCGATGGTCGATGAGTAGAAGCGTTGGATCCTTGGATCATTTGGCCTTCATCAATATCATGCATGGCTGAATCCACGACGAAGCCCGCCAACCTGTCACTGGAGCTCGCAACCCTAGGCATCACGGGCCAAAACGGTTTCGATCTTGAACCTGGGTCAGTCTGGAAACTTACAGAACGAATGAACCATCGAAGCCATAGTGCCATAGTACAGAGCTGGAATTATACATTATACTGCTTACGTATTGTAGTCATACGATCGCTAAGTATACCTCCTAGCAATCCCTAAACCCTAAACCCTATTGCCCTATAGATCTCTTTAATTACAGGAACCCTACTTATGACCCTACCTATAGTCTCCATTGTAGTTCCTTTTTTTGGTTAACCAAAATTTCTATTCTAGGTTTGTAACCATAAAACTGGTTAGCCAAAAAAAGGAACTACAATGGAGACTATAGGTACTTCTAACTACGCATGAATGAGACGATGCTTGGCAGGGCAGCTGCGCATTGACGGCGATCCCTACTGCCGCAAACTGCTTGCGCCAGTTTCTCGGAATCTGGGGATTACCTAATAGGATTCTTTATACGAACCCCCAAAAGGAACTACTTTGGGGCCTTAGGGTAACCCACAGTAAATTCTTGAACTTGCCTCTGGTTAGTAGGGAATGGAAGAATGGTAGTGCTAGTAGTAGTAGTAGTAGTAGTAGTAATAGTAGTAGTAGTAGTAGTAGTAGTAGTAGTAGTAGTAGTAGTAGTAGTAGTAGTTATAATTGTACCCCATTCCTCCATTCCCTACTAACCAAAGGCAAGGAATTCGGTCCGGTGTGCTCACTGGTGGGTTTCAGGACCTGTTAGTTAGAATCTACCTGTAGTTCTTTTTTCGTGCAAGACTGTAGGATACCGCATACCAGATAGAAAGTTATGGTTAAACCAAACATGGTTCTCCAACGGAGACCGTAGGTAGGCTTCAGGGGTTATCCGCTGTTGTCAAGCTCTTTCGGAGCCACAGTTCCCCTTGTTTCAACCCTATAAGCCCTTAGCCCGATGATAGACAAGATAGCATCCTAAACTTTAAACCCTAAGCCCAAAAACCCTAAAGCCTACATACCCTAAACCCCAAACCCTGTACCCTAAACCCCAAAAGCCCTAAAGCCTACATGCCCTAAACCCCAAACCCTGCACCAAACCCCAAAAGCCCTAAGCCATGCAAGCTGGAGGCCCGGCGGCTTTCCTCCCGAAGAAGCTTTGCAGAGGCCACCCCTGGGTTGCGGTACACCTCTAGTCTCCATTGTAGCTCCTTTTTTGGTTTAACCATATTTATACTGAGGATCCTATAAGGTAACCCAAAAAAGGAACCAGGATGGAGACTATAGGTAGGGTCTATGGTTTTGGGAGTGGTGCTGTAGGGCTTCAGGGTCTTCGGGTTTTTCAGCTTACCCGTGTAGGGCGCCCTCGACCCCTAAACCCCATTCTTTCGAGAAACCTTGGTGAGAAACCCGTAACCGCAGTGACCGTAGGAATGGCGCCACATGTGTGCATATGTATGTGTGTGTATGCATATATATATATATATGCATACATACACATAGATATATACCTAAATGTAGGTGTATACCTCTATGTTTATAGGTACATACACACACACACACACACATATAACATCAAAGCAAGGAATGCAGCACCAGCAGCAGCATTTCCCAATCAACAAGAACAGCTGGTGGCACTAGAGTCAGGAGAGCTTTTTGGCCGAAACGTACCTGGAGTTAACATTTCAATCACAAAGTTTCGGCAACCCCCTTCCATGATTTCCCTCCGCCCCCACCCAGAGTCTTGGCACATTCTGCATCATTCTGCCTTCGCACTGTGTCTTTATATCTTTTTGCGGCTGTGCGTTCGGCAAAGAAGCTCCGAAACGCCAGGCTAGAGGACCTTGTGGAGAACGGAGATGGTGGCATTGGTGCCACTCACCACAGGCCGCAGTCGGGGGGCGTCATTTTGCCGCTTGTCCCCGTCCCCAGAAGCCGGACCATCCTTGCAGCAGGAAGACTCTGTCTCACCGGAAGTGGGTTTAGGGTTTAGGGAAGTGGGTCCCTCCAGCATTGCCACCAGCATCCGTGTCATCATCATCGTCATAAGATACACATGCAGACTGCAGGCACTTGGCAGTCGAGGACTTGGTGTAGCATGCATGTAGATGCAAGGTGTTACTGCATGACCAGTTAATGTAATAGACTTTATGGGGTTCCCGAGCTGTCGCGTCCATCAACAATGGGGGGTCACAGTGGACATGGTCGTGCCGCGTTAAAATCTTCCACGTGGTGACAATGGACTGTCCCAGTGTTTGTTCCATATGAGGGTTTCCGAAAATAGGGGGCCCCAATATAGTACCCTAAATACTAGGATCCTTGTTATAAGGACCCCAAAATAAGGTACCCCCAGTTTCCGGAAACTCCCATATGAATCTCGGTTTCGGAGCGCGAGCTGCAACGGAGCCTTCGACGAGGAGAGTGTGACTACTTTCTGTAGCTGGTTCGGATCTTTACAGCAGCTTGCAAGCTTGTGATGCCCATACGTTGACTGCGACGATAAAGAGGTTGTTGTAAACGCCGAAAGCATCATCAGCAGCAGCACCCTTACAACAGCAGCAATGATGTGCGTGAGAGCTCGTGCTACCACATAGGCTAGAAAACGGCCTCAAGACCAGTTACAAAGATGCTGTAAGAACGCCCAAAACTCGATTTAAGTATTCATGCCCTACACATACATATATATATATATATATATATGTGTGTGTGTGTGTGTGTGTATATAGATGTATTTATCAAACCCGCGGCCATGAGCGATGCGCCAGAAAGGGCCGACTCTGCCGCTCGGCGCGGCCGCGACACGGACTTCCAGCTCCGCCTGGCTCCGAGGCACTACTTCGACCAAAGTGTGCAGCCGCCCGGCTCTTAACTTCCCTTGTAGTCGAGTAGGTAACCTTTAACCATTTTTGGGTAGTAGAGTCCCTGTGTAATCCAAATACAACCAAGAAAGTTAACCTTTAGTTCCCCATGATACCCGGCTTGTAACTGCAGGGATTGAGGGCTTTTTTAGGCGGTCAATTAGGCTTTTGGGTTTAAAAGGCCGGCAACCCTTTTCAGGCCCTTTTCTGTAACTCCAGGGCTTGAGGGTTTTCTTAGGGGTTTGGGGTTCAGGGTTTTTTATTGGGTTTTATAGGGAACTTTAGGCCTTTATTTATGGTTTGAGAGGGTTGGGGGTTTGGGAATTCAGGGTTTTGGGTTATAGGGAACTTCAGGGCTTTATTTAATAAGGTTTGCGGGGTTGGTTAGGGGTTCAGGGTTTAGGGTTTTTAGGGTTTTCGGGCATTTCCAGTGGGCTGCTACAAGGACCTAAGGATCACTGTACTAGAGACGTCAACGATTACGTGAAGCCTCGAACCATCGAACTATCAAGAACTGTGGCGTTGGGGGCAAGCCGCATCAACTTATAGAGAAAATTTCTGGAAGGTAAGCCGCCAGACATACGGCAACCATGATAGACACCCTCGCAGCATCCCTCATAGAAGAACTTACGAGAACTTTTATCCCAACCCGACCGTAACCCTTCTATGACCCTTACGTTGAGGTATCTCCTCCTGGGGGTCATCCTTGGCGCCCTTGGATTTATCATTGCAGTCATCCCGATGATCATCCGAGGCACCAAAGCGAAGCCTTTGCCGCTGCCGCTCTCTCTGTCTCTTGTCTCTGTCTCCCTCTCCCTCTCTCTACCTCCCCCACTCTCTCCCTCTCTCTCTCTCTCTCTTTCTGTCTCTCTCTCCCTCTCTTCCTCTGTGTTCATGCACACGTATGAACGTATTTGTGTATGTCTGTCTGTCCGTCCGTCCGTCCGTCCGCCTGTCCGTCTGTGTAGCCTTATGCGTCGCGAGAGAGAGAGAGAGAGAGAGAGAGAGAGAGAGAGAGAGAGAGAGAGAGAGAGAGAGAGAGAGAGAGAGAGGGAAAGAGCGAGAAAGAGCGAGAAAGAGAGAGAGAGAGAGAGATGGACAGAAAGCCAGACAGCCAGCCAGACAGCCAGCCAGACAGCCAGCCAGACAGGCAGACAGACCGGTACAGTAGATAGATAGCTGATAAACAGATAGACTGATAAACTGATAGACAGACAAGAAGACGAACCGACAGATGGAAAGAAGGATAGATGGATATATCATCAGATCTCGCCAGATATGTAGGGGTAGAAGCAGGTGGGTGTGCAGGGGGTCCCTGGATAGGTAGGTAGGTAGGAAGGTGACGGTAGGTGGACAGATAGACAGAAGCTGCCGATGCAATTGTATGAGCCGGTCTGTATATCGTTTTAGATGTCTAAATCTGTATATACATATATACATATATATGTGTGTATACAGACATATGTATATATGTATGCGTACACCTAATCGATTTACACATAGTGGTCATCATGATGTCATCTGCTTGAGTCTCAAAGTAGAAGCTGGTAGACAGCAAGGTCGGACAGGCAGTTCCCTTGAATCAGGCTTCACCGGCACGATCGGCGCGACGAATTTACGACACCCGGTTGCATATGTCCTTGCTGCAACTCGTGTTCACCTTCAGGGAACACCAACAAAGCCCAATACACCCTAACAGCCTAATCAATGCTAATGAACCCGAATACGCCCTAGTCAACCCTGATGCACCGTAGTCACACAACGCAAGCACTCCACGCCACAAGCGCAGGGCTTGGGTTTAGGATTTAGGGTTTTGGTTTGGGGCTTAGGGTAAAGATTTAGGGTTGTTTGGGGGTTTAGGGTTCAGGCTTTACAGGGACCTTTGCAGTTTGAAAGGATCCCTTTAACGGGTTCTGTGAGGGTTACTACATGGGCTTGCATAGGGGCGGTAGACATGTGGATAGGGACGATAAGGGTATACCTGACTAAACGATCAGCTCCCGGGCGTTTACAATACAGTATTTCATAGGGTTCTATAATGGGGGGGGGGTTGTCTGGTGTTCGAGGGCAACGGATCAGTTTTCTTCCAAACCTGACCAAAACCTGCAAGTTGTCCAGCGACGGACTATCCAAATGCTCTAGCCCACTGCTGAGGTAAATGGAGGCCTGTTACACGAGACAAGGACATCGACAACCACTACCCTAACCAAAACCCTCAAGGGCCATAAGACAGGCTATTAGGTGTGATCTGCGCAATGTGTCCTCCAAGCTGCTGAAACAACCTGCAAACCCCAAATGCTAAAGCCCAAATCCTGACGAGTCTGGGCCGTACCGCAAAGGTCTCAGTGACACAGTGAACTACGATTCCTCGTGTTGCGCTCTTAGAAATCTAGGATGACATCAACCCTAAAACCCTGAAACCCAAATATAGCGGCTTAGATAGTTACCTATACTATTTTGGTGGCTCCTTATTAGAATCATAGTATAACGGGCCCAAAAACCTTATTTTTATTATTAAGGCCCCGACAGTCCAGCCCCTAAATCCTATAAACTTACAGTGAACCCCATAAAGTTGGAAACCGGATTAAGGCCAAATAGTGCCGGGATTCCCTTATTCTTAAGGATTGAGGCTATTGGGTTTTCAACTATTGGGTTTCTACTGTAGCTCTAGTCAGGCAAAACCTTCCTACCGGCCACCGTCTCGGAGTTGGTCTCTAAGCGGCTTGGCAGATTGGATCCGTATTCCGAAGCCTTTGGGTTTAGGGCTTCAGGGGTTTAAGGGTTTAGGGTTTAGGGAGGGTTTGGGTTTAGGATTTTGGGTTTCGGTTTTCGGGTTTAGGGTTGGTAAGCCCAAAAGGCTTCTGGGCACTTAAGCTTCAGGCTTAAGGTTTTTCGGGCGGTGGGAGTATGTCCTTCTACGCCGTCTTCGACAAACAGGAAGATCTCGTGGATGAACGCTAGGGTACTTGGAGGATCATGGGACCTAGAAAGTAGGGTTATAAGTACCTTTAATTGGGGTTATAAGTAGTTATAACTGTAGTTACTTCTCTTATAACTTATAACCAAACTTACCAAGTCCCATGATCCTTTAAGTAACAGAGCAGGGCCCATGTCATACTCGCGAGGCCCTTCGGGTCTTAGGGCGGGTTTGTGGCAAGCGAGGCTGCCCTTCGCTAGCACAAACCGACATTTCAAGCCGCGAGCCCGGAACCCTAAGCCCCACCTTCCCGTTTAGGGTTCCTTGTTGTGATATCCTTATCGAAATTAATAATTAAAACGGTAGGTTTTGTGGGTCCAGGTAGGCTTGAAGAGCCCTAAAGCCTAACTCAGCCCTTTAGGGCTAGACCCTTTAAGGCCCCAGATGATTGCAACTTCACAGTGAAGCCTCAGGCGATCCAACCCCCGCCACCCCCTCCCCCCCCCAAAAAAAAAGTTGCGTATCAAGTGCGATCGCGACTCTGATGTCGGTGGTGGTCCTTAAACCCGACTAAGCCCTGTAGCTTGCCATGTGTCCAGACGGGAGGAGTCTCGACTTAAGATCCATGCTGTGCATTGCCATCCACTTGGTAGTTGAGTAGGTAACCTTGAACCTTCTGGGGTTCATATAATCCTACCATAACCGAAAGGGGAAACTTTTTCTGGGCTTGGGGGTACTCACAGGTGGGACACCGTGGAAGCCCGAATCTTTTTTGGCTTCGAGGTGATGGCGGCTTCCTGGTCTTGAACTCAAACTTTAGAAGGGCTTTGTACAAGGGATCCTTAGTCATACCTACCTTCCTTACACCTGTTGAGGCCACTGAATTCCATTCGTTCAGATGATTGAGGATCATTAGTTTCGGGTCCAGCGGCTCGTGTCTCAAGATGTATCCTTGCTTCGGTTTGCCTGGACGGGAACCCTGGAAGAATCGATCTGCCGAATGCAAGCCCATGACTCAGCTGAGGCTTTGAGCATTCTGCTCTCCTGGTACCCTTACAAGCTTCGAAATGCAAACTGCATTCCGCTAGAGGGCGGCTGCTATGTCTACTGCTGCGGAAAGTGCTGCAGTATGTCTTGGGCAGCCGTGCGTCAGCTCCTCCAGCAGCACCGCATCACGCGTTCCTTCCCGTGTTTCTTTCTAACGTATCATGTGTTGGTGCATGTGTGGTTAATCCGAGGTTCTGCCCCCCTGTTGGCCTCATGCTCGTGGCCTGCGTACCGTCGGTCAAAGAGGTGCGACCCCTTATAAAGCTACGGCAGCTAAGCGTGATGAATAGCCCGACTACAATCAGCATCATGCCATGATCAGGATCGGGATCATGATGATCATGATCACGTCATCGTCAGCAGACCTGTCATGAACAGCACGATAACAGTGCTCTTGGACGTCGTCGTCGTGGTAGTGGTAATGGTAGTAGTAGTGGTAGTAGTGGTAGTAGTAGTAGTAGTAGTAGTTGTTGTTGTGGTAGTAGTAGTAGTAGTAGTAGTAGTAGTAGTAGTAGTAGTAGTAGCAGCAGCAGCAGCAGTCGTCGTTGTGGTCGTGGTGGTGGTTGTTGGTGTCGTAGTCGTGTTTTGTGTAGCTCTGAACCTTAAACCGGCGTTAACCCTTTAATGACCCCGAAACCCTCAACCTTACCTATATTCTCCATTGTAGTTCCGTTTTTGGGTAACCTTATAGGATCCTCAATATAAATATGGTTAAACCAAAAAAGGGAACTACAATGGAGACTAGAGGTCAAGCCTAACCCGGCAAGAAGACTCCAAGGGTAAAAGGAGGGACCCTTAATGAGGACCCCTATATATACCCTTAGATCTACCCATTATATTGCCCCATTACAGGGTAGGGGTCCCCATTAAGGGTCCATCCTTTTCTCCTTTGAAAGACTGAAGGATGAGTGGAGCGCTGACAAGCTGGTCCTGGTGGTGGTCCACTGCTTCTCTGCGCTGCACCAGGGCGACAGATTGGGGCTTCTGGCGGTCTGAGGGCTTAGGGAGCCTCAGGGTTAAGAGCTTAAGTTTTAGGGGTTTAGGGTGTAGGGTTTAGGTTTTAGGGGTTTAGGGTGTAGGGTTTAGGGTGTAGGGTTTAGTGTTTTAGGCTATTAGGGTTTAGTGTTTTAGGGTTTAGGGGTGTTGGGTGTAGGGTTTAGGGTTTTAGGGTTTAGGGTTTTAGGGTTTAAATTGGGGTTTAGGGTTGAGGGTTTAGGGGTTTAGGTTTTAGGGGTTTAGGGTGTAGGGTTTAGGGTTTAGGGTTTAGGGGTTTAGGGTTGAGGGTTTCGAGCTTTAGGTCTTTTTAGGGCTTTAGGGTGTAGGGAAAAGGGCGTTTGAGGATTGGGATTATTTTGGGTGGGGCTTATGCTTGGTGAAGCACAAAGCCCTCCTGCCGTTTCTTCATTTGCTTTGAGCGTGGCCCAGAGACTCCAATATCCCTTAACTAAGGAATATGCACTGAAATGCAGTAGGATCCCTAATATATCTTTTAAGGTACATTCCTCGATCAAGGGATGTCGGAGTCTCTGGGGGCGCCTGAGGCTAATGTTCTGCGCATTCCTGCTGGCGGAAGCGCACGCGCTGTCTCTGGCGCCATTCAAGTGCAGGGCTCCTTGGGAGTGTAAATCCGGAGTCTTTAAAGTTTTCATGTCTGGGTTTAAGGGATATTCGGGTCTTCAGGGTTTCCGGAGTCTTGAAGGTTTTCTGGGGGTTTAAGGGGTTGATTTAACTCGGGTCTTCAGGGTTTAAGGGATTAGGGTTTTCTGGGCTTAAGGGATTATTTCGGATCTTCAGGGTTTAAGGGATGGGGGTTTTCAGGGTTTACGGGATTAGGGTTTAGGCTTCTGAAACTGGCTTTATGGGTCAGCCAGAAGGGCAGACAGTTCAATCTCCTGAGATGAGAAGGTTCCTTCCATTGCCGCCGGGTGCCTTGAGTACAAGCTCCGATATGGCACCTGGCTACTGGCAGCCGTGCCCTATGTCGTGTTCACCTTCATCGCAGTGGTCGATTTCTTCGTCGAGCTACATCCGTATGTGAAGATCACATCCTTCGTTCTGGAGGCTGTTTCAACATCTGAGGTTGTTGTTCGAGCAATCTGGCTTTAGGTTGTTGGCCTGCCACCGTCTTAAGTGTTTCGTGGTTGCGCTACACCCCAAACTTCAAACCCTGTATGCCCTTGAAAAGCTTCCGGTTCTCTGAGCTCGTCAGGTGGATGCCGGCTTGGCGATGCTTGCCAACCATTTTGTCATTTGGCTACTCGGCTTCTCCTCACTGTAGAGTTTAGAGTCTAGCCCGAAGCCCCATGCCCATCCTTAAACTCAAATCATAGCCCACAACCCCCAAACCCAAAAACCGAAACCCTAAACCTTGGTTGAGGGTTCAGGGTTTTCTAGCATTCAGCTTTCTTCAGTCATGTGAAACATGTTTCAATTTTCCACAATAGGATTCGGGAGCCTTCGCAGATTGTAAAAGGTGTGAATCCAGGACAGAAAGTCGTAACGTCGAATGTTCTGAGAAGAGGAAAATTCGAATCTGAGGGTTTCCAACGTTACCGGATTTTGGCGATCCATTTTGGAATAGGTTGAGTCCTGAGATTGGCACATGCGGGTTTAGGACGGTGCAGGGCTCATGACTTTTGGAGTGTTTAGAGTTTTTGTGTATACGGCTCAGGGTTGAGTTACGATAGATGGGAACGGAAGGGATATACCGTAACGTTCAGACGACGACGTCTTCGAGAGTTCTTCGGACACACGGCATCCCTACACGGTTAAACCTTCAACATTAAATGCCACCCCCCTGTAAAGGGTCAGCAGACAACGCAAAAGGCCACAAGGAGATCATGGTACCACTAGAGGTCCAATAAATGAGAACAACTTATCTCCTTCAAGAGGTCTAGTGGGCGGACATGCTCCTGAATTGAAGACATTGTCCTTACTGCAGAAACCTCAGATCTCATGACCATAAGATGATCCCCTAAATCCGCATATACCCGAATCAGACCTATTGAGCCGTAACAAGCCTCAACATCAGAGAAAAGCTCACCAAAGCCGGCACGCCAACCTAGCTTGATCCAAGGGCCTTTGCACCAGAAAGGACCTGGGGTTTGCGTGATGTGGAGATGTCGGTTCAGAACTGACGGGTCTTCGCCTCAAGACGAGGCTGAAGCGTGAAGCCTTTTCAAAATGGCGCCTGCAATCATGAGCATCATCACTATAGCTTAATCGTCGTGGCGTCGTCGCGGCTGTGATCATCAGCAACATAATCTGGGTCTTCATAAATCACCTGTGCCACAAGTACCTAATGTATACCTGATTACATCGCCGCGCCACAACCACCAGCAGGGCCCACGACATGCTACAAATTCGTGGCCTCTGCATTCCTGGACCATCGGTTCTGGCTTATTGCAAAAAGGGCGGCCTCTTATGACGGTGTGATTTTGAGAATCTTTCATTGCTACTGGTGTCCAGGGAGCCGCAGAAGGATTACGATTGGAGTTACAGTGGTTTTGAGGGATCGGAGTGGAGTCGGAGTGGAGCCCTAGAAACCCACGGTTGCTCAAGGGCTGAGGCTGCTGGCCATGTATGTGTGTATCATTCAAAACTATTCCTGTCGTGAGTATTGACATGACGATCAGGATGTTGCAGGCGAAGATGCTGATAGCACTATCGATGGTTAGGACGGTGTTGATGGCAGTGGCGACAGGGCTGTAATCGCAACGGCGACGTTGACCCATACATATGATGATAACGGACAGAAAGCATAGACTTATGAGGATGTGTCTAGCAGCCAGGATTTGCCTGCTGATTTCGTGTTGCATCCAATCAGAAACCGTACGATGGCACCTCGGTGAGCACCATGTAACCTCCTGTCCAGGCACGGCCATACTTCTGGAGGACCGACGTGGTTGGCTTTGTTGGTACGGAGTGCAATGTATCACCATGAAGCGACATACTAGATACTTGCGCAGTTTGAAATATTACCCTGAGTAGCAAGGATTCAGGTATACCAGTCTACTGTACCATTTCCCTGCACGTTACAACAGATATGTGAGTGGAAGTGCATGGGATTTGCATTGAAAATCGCTTTGGCACAAACAAAGCTGCTAAGCCTTTGCCAGGCAGGTCGGCTGAGCGACAACCGATCTGCTGTGCCCCGCTTGGTTCAAGGGATTCGGATTCTCGAGGGCCTCAAAAGGTAGGATGAAGGTAGGTGGGATATTCCCGACTATGAGTCCTTATATAAGGGATCCTTAATCCCACCTACCTTCATCCCACCCTGTGAGGCCTCCGAGGTTAGGGGAGTCGGATTTTGTTGGCTGAGGGTCTCGGCTGTTTCTTAGGCCCTTCGCTGATGCGTATGGTTTGGTATAGGCGGTTGAGATTCCGGACGCTGACCGGGTTTCCATTCTTGGGCATTTGGTTTCCATTGTAGGTGGGCATTTGGGGTTCCACCGTCTTCTGCTTAGTCGCCCTACACCCTAAACCTGCAGCTTGAGGATATGGCTTGCATCTTCCAAGCTCCCCAAACGAAACACCAACCCCTCAGCCTGGGAGTTTGGATGTGCCAGCAGTGAAGATAGTCGCAGTAACAGCAACAGGAGCTGATGGAGGACACTGATGAACTCCGGCCACCCCCTTTCGATCCATGTAGAAGTCATTGGCACCGGAGGGCGATGCTTATCAGGGGTTTACATTAACATAAGGCTTCGTAAACTCCATGTTATAAAGCCATTTCATAAGCACGGCACTCCTATAAAACCCTGGTAGATCCATTATCTAAACAAAAATTGCAAAACAAAAACATGCTGCATGAGTTCCTGAAGATGGGGGGGTTAGGGTTCATAGGCTTCGGGGTCTATGCTGCATGAGTTCCTCAAAATAGGGGGTTAGGGTTTATGGGCTTCGGTATACGCTCATCAATCTCGTGCGCTCAGGCTCCATCTGCACACAGCAGTGATGATGCCTTTCCGCGACCTCTCACTAAAGGTTAGAGGTCGTCGTGCAAGATCCGCCCAGCATGCAATTTTTTCCTTTCTGGACTCTTGAGCCCCAAATCCTGGAACCCGAAGACCCTAAACCCCAAACCCTAAACCCTGAACCCCAAACCATAAACTCTGATCCTTTCCAGCTGGACATGGCTTCGAATGATTTCAGACGGGGGGTCTGCGTCCCAAGACTCCGCACCGTGTAATGCAGCCATCTTTCTGGGGCCTTTCTGATCCTCAGCCGTAGTGCTGACGTGGGTTTCCTTCGGTGCTTCCGTACCTAGTTCCGTACATGTGTTTTAAGGTTTCGGAGTTCACACTAGGGTGGATAGCGTGTAGGTACAACAACTGCAGGAAGGATGCGAGCTATGATATTGTCTCGACCCTTCTTGGGTGAAGCACGGAAGGCGTAATTTTGCAGCGTGGCTGACCCGACCTGCCATGCCAACCATGCCTTCCCGTTGACGATGCATTGACCCGCTGTAACATCTCTGCCCTAAACTATTGATAAACCCTAAGCCCTGAAGCACTATAAGCCCTAAGCCCCAAGCGGGTTTAGATCTTGCGGTCGGCTGTTGAGCCACGTCGACGTCCATCGGTGGAGGCATTTTCAATGCGTGGGTTTGCACCCGTAGGCCACCGAGGGGCCTTCGTTCCTCGAAGCCGGCATCCATGCAGGAGTGTACATCGAGTCGAGAAATCAAATCGTGCCTTTTTTCTTAGTCTGAATGTATCGAAGGATGTGGAGCTAGCTACTGCAGCATGAAGAATTCCCGCCTGTGATGGTGTCTAGGAGGATGTTCAGTTAAGTTTCTCATGGAACCGAGCCGACCAAGTAAAGCATGCAAAGCGCATTGTGTACGAAACAAGCAGATTACGAATGTCATGTGCCCGCTAACGTCCGAGCCAGTCTACCTCCGGGTTTCCACCGCATCTCCAACCCAAGCGGTTTAGGCGGTTCAGGGAGGGGCAGCAAACATGCTGATAGCAAGAAGAGAAGCATAAGCAGATTTAAGCATAGCATGATACGCTCCGAAACTGTGCTGAAGCCACCGGCTGCGTTTTAGAGCCTTGCTCCCCGCTTCTTTCGAGGACCGAATCCGGGAAAGCCCCTGCATACCCTCGGAACCTATATCCCTGGATTCGGATCGAAGAATCCTAAACTAAACCCTAAAGCCCCTAAACCCTAAATAAACCCTGAAACCTTAAACCCTAAACCAAATCCTCATGAGCCCCATATCTGGAAAGGTTACTGCCGGGGGGCAAGACTGGTACGAGTGTCTTCATCTCCTGCGGGATGGCTCCGCGCGGTCCTTTTCGGTATCCTGACACACACTGCTAAACACCGGTACGATTGTTATAACGGTGGGGCTACGAGAAGAGATATGTGAGGGTGCTACAACAGTTACAGTAACTCAGTAAATCGTCACCTCAGCCTACCCCAGAAATCTACAGCCTGCAATCCTAAGCCCCTAAACCCCTAAACCCCTAAACCCCTAAACCCTAAACCCCTAAACCCCTAAACCCCTAAACCCCTAAACCCTAAACCCCTAAACCCCTAAACCCCAAACCCTAAGCCCTGAACCCCTAAACCCTAAACCCTGAACCCCTAAGCCCTGAACCCACATCTCTGCGGCGTGGAGCAGCACCGCCCAGGGGAGCCGCCTTAGACGTCTTGGGATCGGAGCTCTGGGGATGGCTATGGAAATTCCAGTAGCTTTCTATTTGGTGTAGATGGGAGTTTCCGAAAATAGGGGTACCTTATTTAGAGGTCCTTATAATAAGGATCCTACTGTTTAGGGTCCTATAGTAGGGTCCCCTATTTTCGGAAACTCCCAAAAAGTACCCCCTGTCGACCCGATACAGCTATGATCTACGATGGCTCGACCACAAATATTAAATCCTTATCACAAGGGTAAAGAACCCTAAACCGGTAAGAATGCAGGCCCCTTTACCAGTCTCGGAAATGGGATTCGACTTCTTTGGTTAATCATGAGCGAGGGAGCAGTGTGGCCCTCAGTAAGAAGGGGTTCAGGGTTTGATGCGTCGTTTGAGTGGGGTTTGGGGTTTGATACGAAATCTTTATGGGTGTAGGGTTGGATACGTCGTTGGAATGGGGTTTTGGCGTGTAGTGCGCGGTATTCCTAGTTTCCTACACCGGGGAATGCTGGTGTTGAAGGCCCAACATAGAAGCCTGAATAGTGCCCCATATATGGGAGTTTCCGAAAATTAGGGGTACTGTACCTTATTTGGGGTTCTTATAAGAAGGATCCCACCATTTAGGGTACTATATTAGGGTCCCCTATTCTCGAAGACTGACATATTAGTCTTTCCTTGGGGTTGGTGTGATTATCATGAAATCAGAGCTTCCAGTCCCACGACCTCCATCCAGAAGGCCGGACGAGGCCAAGCAATAGTCCAGCGTTACTGGACGAAAACAAGTCTTCATGGGGACCTTGAAAGGGGGGAGGGGCTAGGGGGGCCTAATACCCCTATGGGGACTTAGGAGTCTAACAAGGTCAATTTACTGCTAGCAATTCTGCATAATCTTGGGGAATGTTGAAATCGATACCTAGATAGGGACCCTTAGGGGGGGTAAGAGTAACTGATAATGGTCTAATAAGGCCTATAAAATTAGGAAGTGCAGTTGGCTGAGTTGGGGCACCCGCTTGTGCCCGCAAGGCGAAGTTAAGGTGCAAGTGGTTTGAATCCTCAGTGCCCCCAAGCCCTCAAACTCTAAATCAAAACCCCGCGAGCACGATCAACCTTGCATGAACCCTAAAGCCCCTAGCCCCAAAGTGTGCTCCCAGAAGCATCCCTAAGCCTTGAAGCCTTCATCAAAGCCGTTGCTTTTCCCCGAAGACCAAGACAGTCTAAGACAGTGCTTGATTGGTATCTCGGATTTCCTGCGATCCGGGCTTTGAGGGGCCTTTGAGCTACTGGTAATTTGTGGCTTAGCACCGGGGCTTGGGCTATAATATAGTGTTCGGTTTTGGCGATTATTCGTGGGCTGTATTCAATTGGTTTCAAGTCTGCGTGGATCGAGATTAGGGTGCATTACGGGGTCCACCTGCTCGACGACTCTCTGCTATGATTTCCCACGTCCTTGACGGGACTTTGTGTTGCATACAGCCGCCGCCCCGGCTAAAGGT